CCAAACGGGCAATATAGGCAGACACCGCTCAACAACACTGTCCCCATAGGAGAGCCAACATCCAGCAAAACCCGGGCCAGCCAGGGGGTTAGGAGGGAAAACCTGGCAGCCACAGCGTACCAGCCAGCAGGTGTCCAGGCTTGCTGCCTCACGTGACCTGACACGGCAGTCTCCTAGTGGTGCGGTGGTACACAGATAAAGCAGTCGGTGTCACTACGGTGCATGTCCTGCTGTGGGCGGTGGACACAGTGTCCAGAGCCATGTCATTGTGGACACCACCTTGCCTTCTGGATGATGTTAGCCATCAGTAGCCACACACCGTCTCTGTACTTGTTCAGTGCTGTTTTCAGTTCATCTCAGTACTTTTATGGAGTCAAGGACAGAAACAAAACCAGTTAAATATAGTAACATCACTGGAAAACACTGCACTTGCCCCACTTGGCTTTACTTCTTTTAAAGAAGATGCAAAACATTTCTTCCCTCATGCCAGTATTGTTCTTTCTTTCATCTCACATCTTCTACAACTTGCTACATAACTTCAAGTTTGATATTTACTGTCGTTATATTCTGGAATAACCAGATCTTCTACTTTAAAATAAAACCCCTCTCTTTTTATTTTGTTTTGCTTTCTCGTCCTATTTATCCCCAACTCAGTCCCAGAGGCTTGAGTAGGTCTTCACGTGTTGCCTAGTGTTCGGTCAGGTCCAGCTACATTGCAAAGTGTGTCCTTAGCACTTGGGAAGAGAAGTTGCCCACACACCCAACAGCTGCTCTTGTGGGGACTGTGGCAAAGCTGTGAGGCCACCTTAGGAAGATGCTGCCCAAGGACAGAAAAGCAGAGTGAAACATGCTACAGGTGGAAAGATGGGGCAGGTCTTTTCTGTTAGCATCACACTAGTGGCTCTCTTTGAGTGGAGAGAACATTGGTTGCCTTAGACATTTTCCTGACATAATATGTACTGTGTGTATTGTCTAGGGAAGATCACACTGAGGTTTGTAAGCAGTCACTTGTTTTGTGGCATGCCACAATAGGAGACCCGCTTCTGCACATCCATCATGCTGCAACTGTTGTCTCTGTGTATATGAAGTGTGACTGTGGGGACCTCTGTGCACATTGTAGTGGGGTCTCCTGTTAAGCTGGGAAGTTTGTCTGTCTCCAGAGGGACTAAGCCTCCCTTCCACCCCAGTAAGGTGACCCTCAGGTACTAGTGCATGGTTCTACTCCCTGAAACCAGGTCCTGAGGTTTTCAGAGGACACACAGCATTAGGCTTCTGGAGCCTATTAACGTCACTTATGTTGTGTTTGGGGACTCCAAGTGTGGCCTCTTTGGACAGCTAATGCCCCTTAGTGTGGGAGCTGATTTATCAAGTTCAGAGCCCCAGGCAGCACATGAGACCACCTGTCAGGGAAATTCTGAGAGCCTCTTACTGTGTCTCCTGTATATGTACCGTGGGTTTCAGGACAGAAAACTTGTGAAGCCGGAAAAGGTGGCGCTGGTGGTCACTGGCAGGAACATGGCTGAAATTTTTCACTCAGGATCTATGCTCTGGCTTGGCCATCACTCTCCCCATCCCACAACCCCTTCTACCTCCATTTCTGCAAGCCCAGCAGTACACCCTTTTCAGGGGCCTGCCTCTATTGAGAACTGTCAGCTGTGGCTCTACACGTGACAGTCACTCCTGTCTGGCTGTAGCTCCTCCCTCAGTGCTCATGTGCCGGCGTGACCTCCTAACCCCGTCAGTGGCCAGTTAAGACACCCCAGTAGTGGTCATCCCACTGCTGCTGCTCCGTGGCTGTCCTTAGGAAGACCCACACTTCCCTCAGCCATGTTGTCTGTCTTGGTGTTTCAGGGTGTCCCTACACTTAGATGAACCTGGGAGTTCCCCAGTAAATGCATATGGACCAGGCTGCTCCACATACAGGTCAGTGACCCCCACGGTTCCCCCCCACCAGTGGATGTGCCTCACCTCTGCTGTCTCAGAGGCCCTTGGCTCCCAAAATGAACGTCTGACATGAGCGTCAAGCCTCTCCACACAGAGGTCCTTGACCCTCCTGTTTCTGCTGAAATGATCAGTTTCCTCTTCCTGATCAGCCACTTCTGTATCGTGACGTGCTCACCACGTCTTGGTGAACACAGCATTGGACCCATAACTTGAAATTGGCCCTCAGGTGTTGAGAGACCCAAGAAGGAGCCTGACAACTCTGTGGTGGTAACATAGCTTTATTAAGAGGTGACTGACCTACTGAGACAATGTCCTGAGCAATGGCTGTACCACATAAGTCACCACCACCCCTGGAGGGAGCCAGGGGCCTTTGTGTTTCTAGTCAAGAACTGTGGCATGTTTGCAGGCCTCCAGACCTCCAAGACCATGCTAGCAAGTGTGGCGGAACAGCATTATGTTAACTTGCATCACTTAGCAAGCGGAGGAGCAGCTAGAGAAAACAGGAGCACACCCATAAGTAGCCTCAGTAGCCCACGCCTGTGCAGCCCCTCTTGTGACCTAGGTAGTTCTGAGTGCTGGAGCACATACTGCTTTGCACTTCAAAAGGATTTAGTCCTTGGAATTTTAAGAATGTATTACCATCATTCCTGTTACATAGATAAGGATCCCAGGCTTGGGAGGCTGAGTACACTGCCTGAGGTCATTCAGCCTGTGTGGCACAGCTAGGTGTAGACAGAGCTCATGTCAGCTGAGCACCCAGCACTGATACCCTGTGGAGGGTGCAGGAGAAGGTGTGTGCTTTGTAGCCTCAGGTCATCTTTGTCTGCAGTGAGTTCTTACACCACATTGCCCAAGGTTAGGCATTATCCTCCATCCAGAGGATGGTGCCTAGTGGTAAATATTGTGCAGTCACCCAAAAGGCACACAGTTTGAATCCACCAGCAGCTCTGCAGGAGAAAGATGGGCAGTTTCCTCCCGTTCAGTTTACTGCCTCTGAAAACCTGCCGGAGGGTCAGCTGTGGGTTGATTCTGACTCCATGGTACCTAACGACTACACCGCAAGACTTGTCTGACTTTAGACACCAGCCACCCTCCTGGAGCTCCACAGGAGAAACGCTCACTTCCCACCAGCTGATTGCAAATTCAGAGGTTCATGCTGTGGCCTCAGGAGGCTAATTCTCTAAAACAACATCTAGGACTCAGGGAAGCTTATGAGTACAGTTTAAATAGAGCAGGAGGATACAAATCACAACAGCCAAAAGGAGATGCGTAGGCTGGGGTCTGGGATGGCCCCAGACGCGAAGCTTTGTTGTTCTTAGGGACACCACATCCTTGTTTGGTGTTATTGCAGTTGGAGGAGCTCAGGGGAGCTTTGGTGCTTTGGAGCATTTTTATTGGAGTTTTATGTTAATCATTGACCACATGATTTTAGTCAGTCTCAGCCCTCTTCTTTCCTTAGTGGTGAGGCTGGCCTTACATGGTGGGTCTTCCAATGCAGAAGTTAACACTGTCAGGCAATCAGAGCTGAAGGACCCACCATGCATAACAAGTCCACTCCTGTCACTAGGAAAATGGCAAGGGCTTAGAGGCTGACTCCCTGGAGCTGAGGACAGAGACTCTGAAATATTTACGATGTACCCTTTCTGTACCACACACCCCTTCCTGTTGCTCTGTGAGGAGAGGCAAGCAGGGCTGGGCCAGGGCCACCAGGACAGGCTCATGGCCAGGCTCTGTCCCCCAGCAAGGAGGAAAGATGGCCCTGTCCTGAAGGTCCTCTTGGCCACCTTTCAGCTTTGGCCCTCAGCCAGAGCTCACAGCCCTCAATCAGGGTTCACAGCCCTCAGCAGCATTAACAGCCTTCCAGGTCGTGAGTTTGACCAACACAGTGGTAGCGTTTACAGAGTGAGGCAGCCTTCAGTTTTCATGTTGTTGTGGTAAGGTATCAGCGAGTCGATTGCAACTCATAGTGACCCTGTGAACAACCGAACTGAACCCTGTCCTGTCCTGTCCCATCCTCACTGCCTCTGATACACCAAAGCCCATTGCGACAGTCACTCTGTCAATCTATTTGATTAAGGGTCATTTTCTCTTTCATCATCCCTCCACTTTTCCCAAGCATGATGCCCCTCTCCAAGGAATAACCTCTCTTAGTCACATGCCCAGTCTGTGAGATGAAGCTTCACCATCCTTGCCTCCAAGGAGCACTCTGACTGGACCCTCTCCAAGACATATCTGTTTGTTATTTTGGGTGTCTATGGGATCTTCAGCACTCTTCTCCCTCATTACAGTTCAAAGGCATCACTTCTTCTGTAATCTTTAGTCATTGTCCAGCCCTAAGATGAATACATGACTGAAAAGACCATGGCTTGAATGGGTCTTCAAACTGACATCATTTGGAGAGATCCCCGACTACAGACTTTGCCAGAGCAATACTTCTCCTGATCTCCTGACTGCTGATTGTGGATCCAAGAAAGAGAGTGGGCCCAGCTGTCCATGTCTCCTCCAATGTGTCCTCCTCTACCACACACCCCCTGTCAGCAGGTCTGTGGGCCAGAGCCTCTGCCTGCCCCTGTAAGCCATGTGTGCTCAACTCCATCCTGCTGCTTCATTCCTCAGAGAAAATAGAAACAAACCACCCCATGGTCTGCCAGCAGATGTTCCTTCAGTCTTTTCTTCCTCCTCTGGCTAAAAGTTCTTTGTTCTGTGAGGACTCATTTTCTAACCCTTTCCCATCTTTCACTATACGTTCCTTTCCCCCCCCTCCTTTATTAACTTTACTCCAGATGAAAATGACCCATGTTTTTCTCATATGTTCTGGATTCAGTACTTTTTTCCTTTTTGTGGTAGTTTCTTCCTGACATAACTCAGTCCACTGTCATGACTGGCCATGGCCAGAAAGCTCTCCAGTACTTGGGCTATGTATAAACTTGGGCATCTCATTTTAGTTCTGCCTTTGTGTGTGTCCCCACCTTCTGTTGTGGTGCAGGGAGAGGTGGGTGGGAAGGTTAGAGGCATCTGTGTTTCCATTGATTGGGAGCAATCTGTTTTGCCCTCAGGTACCCAGATCAGCTGCTTCTCACCAACCTCTTTCTCCTGGCGTCAGGCCGCCTTCGTGGACTCATACTGCTGGGCTGCGGTCCAGCAGAAGGACTCCCTGCAGAGCGACTCCGGGAACCTCCCACTGTGGCTGCACAAGGTAATGGACGTCTTTTTCTGTCTGCTTTAGAGACGTGAAAACTGAGGCCCAGAGAGGATGGGCCACCACAGCACAGCCACACAGAAAGATATGTGCAACTTGGGCTGCAGCTCAGATGTTGAAACTGTAGCACTTTCACATCACAATGAACCTTTGAGATCACTCATTCTAGCACATGGAACTTGGTACCTTAGTGGTATGGAGTTGTGCTGCCAGCCCCAGGGGTGCATGTTTGAATCCAGCAGCTGCTCTATGGGAGAAAGATGGACAACCTCCTCCTGTGTGATTTACAGCCTCTGAAAACCTGCCAGAGGGTCAGCTGTGCAGTGGTTTCAAATCCATGGCATGTAACAACATCAGCAGCATTTTAGTGCTAGGTGCCACTGAGTCAGCTGTAACTCTTAGTGACCCTATGAACAACCAGTCTGAAACCCACTCCATCCTGTGCCATCCTCATCTCTGACACACCATCCTCATCAGACACGCTGTTGGTCGTGGATGTGTCCAGACAGGAGGATGTTACAGCCCATTGTTGCAGTTACCAACTCATCATCAGTCCAACTCATCATAGGCCTTCTTCTCTTACACTCCCCCTCATCTTTCCAAGCACCATGTCCTTCTGCAAGGGCGAGCCCCCTCTAACAGCATCCCCATTGTACATTCAGGTAAACTGGAGCTCTGTTAAATAATGACACACCTTGTGCCCAGCAGATGGCCTGGTCCTTAGGCTCTCTGATGTCAAAGGTGTGAAATAATTTGGCTGGATAGTGATGAAACTGGGCACCTGAGCTTAGCTCTTAGGGCTATTGTTTTCTCTACTACACACAGGCCTCTTGGAAAAGTCAGAACCAGCTTATAGCTCAGTTGCTTTTAGCCAGTGTGCCTCAGCATGGAGAAGCCTGAGGAGGATTCTCTCTGGAGGTGTTGGCTCCAACACAGCTTTTAGAATAAAACCCTTTGCTGTCTGGCAGATACAGATACTATAGATGCTGCACAGGGGGCATCATTGTCCAGGGGAAGAATCTGACTGAGAAAAAGGGTAGGCCCGTGGCCAGGATCGGACACATGGAGGCTGAGCAGTCAGGAATGTGGAGGGCATTTGGCATGTTTATGCGGAGGTATTCTCTTAGTGATGACACAATTCAATTAGATCATCTCTGTACATCTGAGAGTGAGACTTTAGCCTGTCACTGTTCAAACCACTAGTTTGTTTTGTCTTCATGAGGACAAATAGAACACTAGTGTATCTTCTGTTATTCATCTGTTCCCATGGGAGCTCTGATGACCTAGTGGGTAAGGGGTTATGCTGCCACCTCAAAGGGGCATGGTTCGGATCCACCAGCTGCTCGTTGGGAGAAAGATGAACAGTTTCTTTCTGTGAGATTTATAGCCTCTGAAGACGCACTGGAGGGTTCTGACTCCTTGACACACAACAACAACAACATTCCCATCTGCAGAATAAAATAGATTTGTTATTAAAAACTAAAGGCTGGAGTTTGACTCCCTCTTGCTTTGACCTGCAGCTGGAGACATAGTCAACATCTTTCATTTTGAAGAATGCCTTAAGCCTGTGTCAGACCTGTTTCCTTCCTGTTTGCTGAGTGTGCCTTTGGTGTGGTGAAGGTTCCCAATGACTCTTTTCTTTTTTGCTGGGCCTTTTTCTTTGGTTTTGAGCCTCAGGGTTAGGTGGTTAAGTAGCCAGGACAATAAGGTTCAAGGAATTTTAGTATTAATAGGCAGAGTTCTAGATCTTGAACAGCTGTATTTGTGAATCTAAGTGTGTTTTGTGATTTAAGACCTTTTGCTAGAATGTTTTTATGGAATTGGAAGACTGTACACTGTCTGTGGGCTAGGCCATGGCCGTGATGGATTCATAGAAGACTATTTACCTGGGCTTTTTCGGATGTATAGGTTGAGAGGGATGTTAGAGATTATGAAACATACAGAGTATAAAGGAACCTAAACAAAAGAACATTCTGATTAAAAAATGGGGGAAGGGTATATAAAATGCAACTGGATATGTAAGGGTATGACAGATTTAGAGATCAGGCCCAGGAATCCAGCCATATAGCCTAGGATTCGGGTCTCTGGACTTGCAGCCAGGTTTTTCCAAACCTGCCTTTGTCTCAAGTCAGTTCAGCTCGCTGGGTTTCCAAGGCTGTCAGCTTTAATGAGAGACTTCTCATCTTTCTCTTGCAGAGCAATTGTTGTTGTGTGCTGCTGTATACTTAGAACTACTCATACACCCTCCAGAGTGTCAGCAACACAATATCAATCATATGGAAGGAGATTGCCACCTTTCTCTAGCTGATGGACTTGAACCATGAGCCTTTAGGTTGGCAACACAACTACTTACTGCTAAGTCAAAAGAGCTCCACTGGAACAGTTGAAAGATTCAAACCACTCATGTTTTGGTCAGCAGCCCAGCTTGGACAGTCCCAAGCCAGTGGCACTGATAATAGAGTATGACTGAGTCCTTGGTTACCCAGTTTTAACAGTGAGTGTTTAAGGAGCTTGGCTTTTGGTGGTTGTAGACCACGTTGTGTGGATGAGAACGTGGGCAGAGCTCTTGTTAGATTGATAGTTCTGTGGACAGAGTTTATTTAAGTTGAGACCTAGCATGCAGAAAGGGCCTTGATCAGTACCTCTAACTTTTGATTTTGACCTTGAAATCCATTTACTAGGAGTAAAGGGAGATCCAGCCCTCACTGGATCTAGTCTGGATTTCCAACATTTACACTGATTGAGTTAAAAATATCTGTGCTTGCTTGTGTCTCTAGTTTGCTTGCTTTCCAAAGACAAACTTTTCTGGAGAAAATAACATTATACAAATTTTCACACTTTATTTTTCACATAAAATCCATGTGACATAAAGCATAACTAGTTACACAAGAAAGCTCAGAGATAGATCATAAATAGAAGCAGAGCTACTGAAGATCTAGATAATAAATTACTGAGGCTTATATTTTGCAAAATCATTAATACTGTGGTCAACGATTAAGGAATATTTTACAGTTGAAAACTCTGAAAAAGAATCAAGTGGAAATTGTAGTACTGAAAACAGTAAGTGACACAGAGTTGATTAGCTTATTGATTGGGGGCCTGCTGTATGCCGGGAACTGCTTGGCACCAGAGTGCCAGAGATGGCGGGCATCAGCCCGCAAGAGACTTTGAAAACAAACTGTGAAGGGGATGCTGAGGGCTTTAAGCACAGTGTGATCCAAGGTGGAAATGTGGTGCCTTCATGAGAACCAGCAGGTGGCGCCCTTGGGCTTTTTGAGAGCCTTTTCCCAGGGTGAGCTTTCTTTGTTCTACTTAATTGTGCGGGCAAGATTTTGATCTAAAAGAGAAAGGTAATTTTTTTTTTAACCCATGCCCCTTAACACTCCACTGTGCCTGATCTAGGCTATGGTCCTTCCTGTACATCTGAAATTTGGACAATGACTAAGAATGACCAAAGAAGAGTTGATGTCTTTTATTGACAGCATCGGAGAAGAGTACAGAATGTACCAAGGATTATTGAAGAACGCACAGGTCTCTCTTGAAGGAAGTGCAGCCAGCGTGATCTTTAGAGACAAGGATGGTAAACCTTCGTTTGATATGTTTGGGGTAGGTTATTATTGGAAGGAAGCAGTTCTGGGAAAAAGACAGCATCCTGGGAAAGGTGGAGAATTGGAATAGAGAAAGCCCCTCAACAAGCTAGACTAGCATAGTGACTCTAACAGGGACTGGAGCACATCAGGATGACGCACAGTAAGGCAGAGTTCATATCTGTTGTTCATAGTGTCACTGTGAGTCATTCAGCTTGATGGCACCTAAAAACAACAGTGATGCCACCACTGAATCCATCTGTGGACAGCTGATCTTTGACAAAGGACTAGAACCCATTAAACAATGGGGATAGTGCAGAAGAAAGTCCCTTTAAGAAATGGTGCCAGCAAAATTGGATGTCCATTTGCAGAAAAATAAAAATCTATTCTTCATACCATATTAAAAAAATCTAACTCTAGGAGTATCAAAGACCTAAATGTATAAAATCTAATAATACATAAAGATTGTGAAATCAAAATGTAGGGACCCTAAGTTATGGCATAAATGTTCCCATCAAACACAACTGAAAGTTGATAACAGCAGAAGACAAACAAGACAACAGAGAACTCCTAAAAACTGAAAACTTGTGCACATCAAAAATACTTTCAAAAGAGTCAAAAGCCTACAGACCAGGGAACAGTTTTTGGCAATGATTTATATGACAAGAAATTAATGTAAAGCTTGCAAAAAATGTCAACACTTCAACAACAAAAGGACAAAAATCCAATTAAAAAAAAATAGGCAAACAGGCCAAAGAAGACACGCAGGCAGCCAAAAAAACACGTGGAAAACTGGCTGAGCTGACCCTTGGTCAGCTTGCCGAGGCCATAAATCATGTGGGATTAAGTTGCCTGTGTCCCTACTCCACGCTGCTGCTGGATTGGCACCACTGAAAAGGGCGACTCTCACAGATTAGGCCACCAGAGCTCTCTTGGAGGGCATTATTCTGAGTGAAATAAGAGTCAAGCACAGAAAGACATAATGTATGAGAACACAATTTTTAAAATATCAAGAAAAGGTTTGCACACAGAAAAAAAAATCTTTGATAGCTACCAGGGATGGGAGAAGAGGAGAGGAAAGATCATTGACTCGAGTGTAACCAGGGAGCCCTGGTGGCCTGGGGGGTAAAGAGTTTCACTGCCAACACAAAAGGTAGGTGGTTTGACCCCTTCAGCTCCTCCAGGGGAGAAAGATGGACAGTCTTCTCTCATGCAGTCTACTAACTCTGTAAGCCCAGTGGCAGGTCAGCCGAGTTGGTTCAGACTCGACAGCCCAGAACAACAGAGAGTAGACATTTTTGGTGAAGGGAAGGGCAGTGCAGAATGAGGGGAGCTCAGCCCATGACCAAGGCCTGTCTGTTCTGGGGAGCTGTCAGCTCTGCCTCCCCTTGTCTGCGCTGCTGTGGCTGG